TCTCTCTCTCTCTCTCTCTCTCTCTCTCTCTCTCTCTCTCTCTCTCTCTCTCTCTCTCTCTCTTTTCTTTTTCTTTTATTTATATTCTTCTTCTGAGACACACAAATCTCTTCTTTGATATACATAAGTGCGATAGATCAATGTCTCTTTGACAGTTGCAAGCAGTATGAATCTAGTCGCAACGGATCGAGTCAATCGAGACAGTCAAGACAGACAATCAGCATCGCGAAACTTCAACGTTTCGATACAAAATAAATTCACGATAACACGCACTTTTTATTAAGGGGATTTTTCTCTGTGTGCGGCAGAAACTATTGAAATCTGGCAGAAAGTAAAAAAATTAAAATCGCAAAGAAAACATATTACACATATCTGTATATGTAAAATAGAATGTGTGTTCTTTTCTGTTTATATGGTCCCTGTAAATTCATAAACCCTTTGATCGATCTTGAAGCAAATTTTGCATAGTTAATATCTGCGGAAAATATAGATTACCATGAAATCTGAACCTGAACCACTCCCCCTGATTTTATCCCCTCGACACTTAGGGATAATTTGAGCAACGCTAGGTAGTTTAACCTAGTAATTAATAGGAAACATCCATGTACACGTTAGCGTGTGTATAATATATATTTGTCATTTTGACTGTCGCTGTCACTGCCAACGTCTGTTAAACCTTCAAGCGGAGCGTTTATACATATGTCAAATACGTGTTGTCGCTTCATATTGCAATATTTCATATAATTCAAAGTTCTCAAAGCGATTCCAGCATGGAAACAATACCTTCACACAGATGTATTCTATAATTAAATATTTATATAAATAATTAAGTTTTATTCTTTTTATAATGAGTATTACATTGTTTTAGCTGGAGTGAGTTTCTCACTAAAATATCAAGAGCTTTTATAATATTTTTTATTGTTCCTGGCATCTCCCGGCTATGAAATTTGTAACGCGTTGCGCCGTAGGTGCGCAATTTTCGCGGGCAGAGGCTCTCACGCGCTTCAGTTGCGAGGAAGGACGAAGCGCGTGATCCTCGCCGGCCGCGCTGTCGCGCCATTGTTTATCCGCCTTCATTAGCGTCATTTTGCAAAGCGCGTCTCGACGGTCGCGCCATGTCATCCGCGTTACCGACGCAAGAACGCGTCTACGGAGGATTTCGGAGTCGAAGAGGTCGGGAAACCACGTCGCTACGTGACGTTTCCCGACAGCTATCGCGCGCCGTCTCGTCCTTGTCCTTCTCGCTCCGCTCCTGCCGGATCCCGACGCCCAGGATAGTTCGCCCCCTTGTGATCTCGGGGGAACGTGCGATGCATGTGTCGGTCGGACGCTTTATGCGAGAGAGAGAGAGAGAGAGAGAGAGAAAGAGAGAGAGAGAGAGAGAAAGAGAGAGAGAGAGAGAGAGA